TTCAAATATTATGGGGGGGGTTAAAGTTGATTAAAGTGACACCAGTTAGGATCACACGGTTCCCTCGTTTCGGTATCACTATTTTCTTTTGAGTTTACTTAGTCTAAATGAGTTTTAAAACCCATTTAAACCGGGGAGGTCTCGTTAGCAACCGTGGATTATCTCATCCGAGGGACTCCCGTAAATTCAAAAGTACGTTTTATGTTTTTGGTTTTTTTGTTGTTTTTGTTTTGAAAATGTTGTTTAATTTTTGAAAATCGTTTTGTTTTGAAAATAAAATTGTAATTAACACCTGCATAATATGTTAGAGCAAGAATAAATTGTAATGATAAAACATCAATAAATAAAATGTACCGGTGTACGTGATGTATCTGCTGCTGCTATCCCTGTTGCATGTTTAGCTCACTAAACATAATATAATTTGCAGGGAATTTAAATAAATTATAGATAAGAGAAGAAAACGACAAACAACTGAACAAGTCGTAATAATAGCTAGGAACTCCAAGCAGGTGATCCCACGGTTTTTTACAACTCTGGACTGCAACTAGTGAGCTAGTACGGTGATCCTACGACCTCCTACGGCTTTGAGCAACAACTAGGAAGTATGTACGATGATCCTACGACTTTAGACAACAGTTAGGAACTTCAAATAGCAAACAATAGTGGACAACACCTATGTGGCTTCCTACGAACCCAAACAATAGTGGACAACACCTATGTGACTTCCTACGAACCCAAACTATAGTGGACAACACTTGGGTAGCTTCCTACGAACCCAAACTATAGCGGACATCAACTGTTGAACCGGTTCAGCTGATTCAACTCTGGAGCCCCCACATCAATACATGTTTGATGACAACATGAGATAGTGGATAGAAAAAATTTTATTTTTATGTCCCATGGTGTTCATGTCCAATGAACAAGCTATACTAATAGAATTTGGTGTGAAATGCTGCCTATGGATTGTGTATTTTATTTTTGCTAGATATTGGATACATGATATTGATTTTACTCATTCTAGAATGTCTAGAATATCTAGTACTAATGCTTTCAAGACTCATGGGAGAAGTTTGTTCTAAGATTTACAAAAACAGTAAAGCTTAGTTTATGCAATAATTTAGTGCTCCTAATGGAGTAAAAGTTATTTGCCTATAGATATAAATATAGATATAAGCAAGAATGCATGAAATATACCTTAGTAGGTTCTGAGTTGAATGAGATTGTACCATGAATGTGAGTATGTATTATGTTAAATTAATGTTGATTGATTTTTAAGATATTTGTTTTGATGAGATTTTCATTGAATTACCACCACTTGGGGACATACAAGATGATCTGATTTAAGTCATGGGCCATCATTGCCTAACTTGCCTCATTATTGTATGAGTCTAACTAGACATGCCCAATTTATGAATTAAAAGACAAGTTAATGATTTGGTTAAGAAATTGTTCAAAGAAAGCATGAGTCTTTATGCAGTACTAATAATGCTACGTCTAAAAAGATTGGAGTTTGGCATATGTGTGTAGGTAGTATAACCATCAATAAAATCACTATTAAATATGAATTGCTAATACCTTTGAGATGATATCCTAGATATGATGAATGATATCATGGAACTTTCTAATATTGATCTGAGAATGAAACATGGTGATCAGTAAAAATTTACTTAAAAAAAAAAAGTATTATACGAATGAGCAATAATGATTTATTTTGGATTATCATTACATTTGGTATTTTCAAGAGATGATAAACCATGTTTTGCATTCTTTTATTAAAGAATTATTTGAGGTTTATCCATGATTTATAATATAACAAAAGATGACATTTGGTATATCCTAGGAAAGTATTTGGTGCGTCCTAGGAAAGTATTTGAGGTTTTGAAAGTTTGAGAAATTATATTTGAATTTAAATAACTATTTTTTGTCACATTATTTCTAATCTTTTTAGGATTTGTTATATTTTTTATGAATTTTCTATTTACTAAGTAGGTTAAGGAATTTAATGATTGACCGACACTTGTTAATAGGCATAATATTCATAGTTTTAACCAGTGGGTTACTTTTATATATGATTTATTAAGAAACTAGTGCTGTCATGACTCTATTCACCAATTGTCTTAAGAAAGAAGAGCTGAAATGGTCTTTTGATCGTGCTTTTACTAAAATCATGGAAACACTCATTAATGCATTTATACTAAAATTTTAATTTTAATACGGTGTTTTAGATTTCTTATGGTGCATGTGGTGTAGGTATTTGAATTTTCTTGTTAAGTTGGGAAGGCACATTAATGCATTGTTTAGCGAGAAAATGAAATGGAGCTAATAATTTTATTTGAGTTATGATACGGAGTTCTATGATGTGTAAACTCTTCATAACCAGAGGCACTACTGGTCGCCTGAGGAGTTTGTGTTTACTCACACCATCAAGCTTTGATATATTTGAATTCTTAAAAAATTAGATTGAGTTGTTAAAGGGTTGAATTTTTTTAGTAATGTACTTTAAGTTTGTGTTATTCTGAGAGATTTTTGGAGGAGTCACTAGTTTAGGAATTATAATGGAGTCCTAGACTTTATCAAGATTGGTTGCCGAGTTCCTTTGTTTTTCCCTGTGAATTACCATGAGGTCTGTATGTTAAAACAGCGCTTGAAGCTTGGAAATCATCTAGCACAGGTTCTCTGTTTTTTCCATCTTTTTAACGTCAGTTAATCTCCTTCTAACTTGTTGCTGCTTGGTGTTTTTTGGTTGTTTAAGGCAGGAGGGCTGGAATTTCCTGCCAAAATGTCAGGGACAAGAATTTGAGAAAATTAAGTGGAGATCAGAAATTTTCATCTTTTTTTTTGGGTAAATTAGATGTCACAAAGAATAATACTAAGAAAACTTCTAGACCCATAGAAAATTTATAATAAGGAGTACAAAGTGACTGTTGGAACAATTAAACGACTCCCAAAAAAAAGTTACTCAGAAAATCTTAAAAAGATCATATATCATGTATATGTTCTTGAGCTTTTTATAAAATCTAAGATCATTCATACAACATAAGCTCGATATGTATGAGGACATTCACAGGCAATTGGGCAATAATTTTTAATAATTCTTAGCTTTCTATTGATGTAAACAGGAGATATGTGGAGTTTGTCTAGGAATAAATTTATGCTGCATGCAATTATAACAAGGCTTCCTTTATGAACCTTTAAATGTAATACAATCAAGGCCATTTGAATTTTGGCTGCACATTGGGATGAATGCCTAAAAATTAAAAATCTTGGAAATTTTAGCATTAATCCAATTTTCAGTATATTTGAATTTACCTTATTGAACATGTTGCCAATTCTTTGATTCTCTTCTCTTTCTAACTTATTGTTAATCCAAATCCAATGCCTTGCTATATAAAAAATTGACTTAGCTTACTCTTGAGTCTATGTTTATGTTGAGATTGCATTCGTTGTTGTTTTTGGGTTTTAAAGATAATTTATGTGTTGGTTTGACACGCATGGTTTGTGAAGACTTGTGAATTATATTGTCAAATGTACAAAATTGATGTCTTGATTTGTTTAATGATACTACTTATTATATTCATTGGCTCAAATCTTTTGTCTAAATTGGCCATATTTAATGGTGATCTGCATGTTTACACTTACATCAATCGAAGGATTGATTTGAGCAAAAATTATTATAGTAAGTTTATTTTATTTCATTTTATCATTATATATTTTTAGTATTTTGTACAAGCTTATGATTGATGCATATGCGAACTGGATGTTTCCTCAGTTATTAATTCCATATTGATGAGGCTATTATATTTGGTTTGGCAAAATTTCTGCGTTAGTTTGATTGGTGATTGGATCAAGTTTTTGATCGGCTGGACTATTGCATTGTTGTTTTGATATGGTTTAATTTTTGTATATGGGCTATGCATGAATGTCTGGATATAGGCTGATTGTTGAATTTTTGGATATAGATGACAGGAAATCCAATTTCGCCCTATGTTGTTTCATGCTGTAGATTATCAGATTCCTTTGGCTTATATTAGCCGTTGGCTGTGGGTTCCTCTACTTATCTTGCAATGCAACACTATATTTAAAGAACCTATCTGGACGATTAAAAATTGAATTTTAGCTCGCTAAATGAGTTTTGATTTTGTCAATCTTATCTATGGATCTATGATTGTAAAATTTATAATGTGATAGTCTGTGACTCAAAAAACTTTTATTCAATAAAGTTTTATATTGTAGTTTCTTATGCTTTTTGTTGCCTTTTGTCCTTCAAATACTACTTTTTTTGCATGATTTATTCATTGCATCATGCTAGTTGCATTTGGACCCTTGGATGCATAGAAATCTTGCATCGATAGATCTTGTATTTGAATCAACAAGTTAACTGATGTTGCAAACTTAGAATTGGACTTGAATAGTGTTAGACCTGGATTGATATGAGCTTTGCTCAATATTTAGATCATAAATTTTATGAATATCAATGCATATTTGCATCTTTATGCACATGTTATTTATGATATTTTTATGCCTCTACAAATGTAGATTTGTTTGTAGGGCTGCAGTGTAACTTGAATATAGTTACGTATCAATTGTTGGCTTGACTATTAAATTTTTTATCGTTTGGAATGGGGAGGAGGATTAGATGAGATTGGGAATCCAATTTTGAAATGAACTGCAACTAAGCAGAAGTGAAGAGGAGAATTGTGCCTGATTCAGAGCTACTTTTTGTTTTATTGTGTTTGCCCTGGGAAAAGAAACTCACAAGTGCGAAAGAGTTTGGAACTTTTTCTATTCTATTGCAGCTTCAATAATGCTTATCGTAGAAATATAAATGAAAATCACTAATTGAGGTTTTTGTTACTATAAAAATGCAAATTTACATTTTAGATGGTGTATAAGCCAAACAAAGCAGGTCTGCCTTATCAATTTTGATCTGTTGAAAGTGTTGGGAGTAGTTTTTTCTCATGTTTAATCATTTTCTAATACAGTGAAAATACTTTATCCAGCATGAAACAGGTCTATGTAAGAATTTGCTTCAAGAATATGCTCAGAAGATGAACTATGCAATTCCTTTATATAACTGCACCAGGCAAGCCACAGGAACCAATAGTTTCATCTGTACTGTTGAGATTCATGGTATCCAATACATCGGCGCTGCTGCTAAAACAAAGAAGGAAGCTGAAATTAAAGCTGCACGAACTGCTCTTCTTGCAATTCAAAGTACGTAATATTATTTCTTTCTCTTACTATTGCTCGGTCTTTGGATCCTCTCTATGCGAAGGACCCCTTATCATATTGAGATGTTGGATTTTGATTTGAACTTGAAAATAATCCAAATTATTGATTTTGTTAACACTCTGTTGTCTGAAAAAATGGAACTACTCTAATGAAATTTCTTCAGATTTATTTTAGATTTGCACCCCATATCTTGCGCTGCATAGAAATGTAATTTTCTCTTAAGTTTGTGCCGTATTGAACGGTATGGCCTACCTGGATGTCTGAAACAGTGTTCTGAAGACATTTATACATCATGAGAAGAAGAATTCCGAAATTGATGGAAAATTTTTCCAGGAAGAAGAAGTTTGTTATCAGCCTCCAAACCTGCAAAGTTTTATAAAAGTCAGGATTTCCTTAAACCCATCTTCATTTCTTGAATTAGAGTTTGCATTTAGAATGTAATTGAGAAGAGAAAATTATAAAAGTGAGTTGAGATTTTCTTATAAACTCATACTAGAAAATCTCCTTTGGTAACACCAAAGAATCCTAAGGTTAACAAATACTTGCATTGAAAGAGGAAGACAGAGTGCAAACTTTTCCATTGTTAGAAACTTCCAACAACATGCATATCAAAGAAGCATATAAAGGTAGTAAGTGTTTGCTAAGAAGAGCCAGAAGAACTTTATAAGAAAAATTGATATTAATGGTACAATTTTAATGAAATTTTGTATAACTTATAAACTAGAGATTTCTCCCTCGATCCATTTTCCTGTGGAACAAGGTAGAGATGTTAACCAGTTTTTTCATTTTAAGTCCAAAAGTGATTAAACTTCACACTTTCAAATGATTTCAAGAATTATTTGATTGAAAATGGAAAAATTCAAGTTTCCACTCTTCAAATGCGCAGAAATTCGCATTTTTACTTTTAATTAACAATAAAATGGTATTAATATATGGAAGGGTGAGTTGGAATATTATTTTACTTAAAAAAATAATATAGTAATGCAAAATTAAAATAAAGGTGGGTAAAAAATAAAATCTAAGTTCTCATTCTTCATACACGCGTCCTAATTCGCTTTTGCAACTCTATCATCTCTCGGTGTAGTTTTCCGTGTAGTTCTTCCAAAAGATCGATGAATACGAGTTGTGTATATGGAACATACTGTCAAATTTTGTTGGGTGCCCTACAAGCAACTCTCGAACCCACTATCACTAAATTATGTCGATGTCATATATGGAGAACAAGCAATATATGAGTTGTAGTACTCATACATTAGGCAAAACGCAGCAGCAATTCTTCTTCTGCGTCTTTCTCTATCCATGTATTTCATTGTCTATGTAGCTAACACATATTAGGTCATTGGTGATTCATGTCCATGTTATTCATTGGTGATTGATGTCCGAGTCGAAGAGAATACTTGAGTATTGCCAAATTACTACTATTTGGTCAGCAGAGAACCTAGTGTGATTGAGCCGTGAGCTTAAGCAACTTGGCTCTACTAGTTAACAAATGAGCCAAACTTCTTAATTACGTCTGGCTTTTAAGTTATTAATCCAAACATGGCTTAAATGTCTTTTATACATTGTAGAATATACATGGTATCATGTGTATATGTGCATATGCCCATTATAAATATAAATATATGTATGTATATGCACTCATTAAATAAACGGGATTATAAAACTAGTCTAATTAAAGCTAATCATCCATATAAATATGACCAAACACGAACAGTAAGTTTTTTTTTTTTTAAACAGCCTTACTGATTTTAGCAGGTTGACCAGATCATTTTGTGTGCTCTCGCATCTCTAACCCAACCAATCCATGGCGTAAGCTTCATCTTTTTTTAGGGGCATTTACATACATACCACTCAATTCCTATGTATTAACATATCTAACACCTAAACTTTATTTATTTTTTTATATTTATACCGCTCAAATCTTTCATATCACACCAAAAATACTTCCATTTTAAAAGTGAAATACACCTTCTCATGTACTAGTAAGGTGGCATATATGTAAAAATTGAAATTTAAGTATTAAATATGCAAATACATAGGAACTTTGTGGTATGTATGTAAATATTCCCTTTTTTATTAAATATTTGACAAGCTGTGCTTCACTTCTGGATGCCAGGTTCATCTTTGGCCGGAATGCACGGTGCCTCCCCCTATACGGTGCTTCCTGGCAAGAAGAAAGGAAAAGAAACCGAACAATCACAGCCTGAAGCAGCAGCAGCAGCAACAGCAAAGCCGTTGAAGCCAAAGAAGAATAAATTCAAGAAGAAATGGCCCAAAAGAAGAGTTTCGAGAAGAAAGAAAGATCAAAACTTAGCTAAATCAAGCACAGATGAGACTGGAGAAGTTAATGCAGGAGTAGTTTGTCCTGCCCTTACCATTGAGGATCACACAGTCAAATATTTAGAGATGTTGGACAAGGAGATGAAGTTACAGTTACAGGCACAGCAGGAGTTATACTGATCAAGGAATGGAGATTTGTGATTAGTTTGTGTAATTTCTATTTATATTGTTGGTAGGAGTTAATTGGGGTTTTATTATTGTATTGTCTTGCATAGAGAAGTTTGTGGAAATATTTGGTATAATGGTAGTTACTTTTACTTTTTTAATTATGTAATTTGCAGTTGAAATTATTCTTAGATAATTTCAACAAAACGCTGATAAACTTTGTCGTTAAGCTTATTATGTGTGAGGTTATACGCATCAACAAATGTGTTTTTGAGGGTTGGAAGGGATGACTTGTGCAATTACATACAAGGTAATCAATCTGTTGCTATTTATAAAATTTACATTATCTTGATTTCGTTCTTTAATTTCTTCAGCTAAATATTATATTTTAAAATTTCGAAATGATTTTGATTGCGGCACACTTAAGATATGATAATGTAGGGTCTGTTTAGGGCATTTGCAACTTATCAACTTATTAATTATGCCTTAGGAATTTGCTGTGGGGAAACTGTTGCTGGGAAGCTGACTGATTGTTTGTTTCAGTTGATTGAAAACATTTGTGTGGAAGTTGCTTTTGGATAAATGATCATTCTGTTCCTTTTTAGTAATACTGTTTATAACAGAATTATTGTAATTATATGTAATCACAGTAATTTTTTGAGGCAATCTATTTTAGTGCCTCGTTTCAGAGTGTGTATGATTGAAAAATATGCATTTCTAAACATAACATTCACAATTTGGTTTGAATGAGTATGGTCAAATAGACCCCAACTATAAGTATTTCCTAGCAGCGACTATAAAAATGATGACAAATATAATTTGTTGCTCTTTCTTACAATATTTTCTCATTATATGCTTTAAGAGATATCAGTAGTTATGCATAATATGCCATCACAGTAATTTTTTTGAAGTGATCTAATACACTGTCTCACTTCAGAGTGTGTATGTGTAGATGAAAAATATGCTAAATTGTGATACCGGAAATATGAACGAAAAATTTACTATATGGTGCAAATTCACGAGAAACGAAAATTTCTCAAAGAGAATATAGGGAAATGTGCTACCGGAGGAAGATGGTGTACAAAACGATAGGCTGGGGCAGATATCGTAGAAGGTGTGTTCTCTGCCGGCAAAACACAGCCCCAAACGATGCAGATTATCGGCCCCATGCCGCGCCACACGAAAACAACTGCCCTAAACGAGGCCACAATTTTTCAATTTGTTAATTAAGTAAAAAAAAAAGTCGTGGAGAATGGCATTAATTTAAATATATTTTAGAAAATTACACCACCTAATTTATTTTTTGTGTGAATATTTTATTTTATTTTGTGCTATTTTAATTGATATATTGAGAAAAGATTATTAAATTTTCATTTATATATAAAAAAAAAATCTCAAATTTGTTGTCAGGACAACCAGATTCTGCCCTTGGCTATGTATATGGATGTTTATATACATTTATATATTGAGAATAAATATCTTAATCACAAGAGCATTTTCTTAATGAAGGATGGTTCTAAATAAGTTGCACAATCAATGGTGCTCCACAAAATATATAAATAAAATATAATGTAATCTACTTCCTCCAATTTACATTTTTTCTTAAATAATCTAAGCTTTATCATCTTGTCTTATAAAAAACAACAATAATTTGACATAAAATTCTCATTAAGATCTATAATTTCGGTTCAGCTTGAACTTCGGCCCAATACAATACCTATATATTTACACATCTAACTTCCAAATTTTAATAATTACATTTATAACGCTTAAAATATTTAACATCAAATACAAAATTTCACTTCTATTAACTTTTTAAAAGTCAAAAGAATTGTGTGGTGTAAATTTCGAAAAAACATTACATCAGGACTCCGCACGTAGTGTTACGTGCAGATTCCAATGAAATTACGTTGTGGAGGTGATCGGCCCGGTAACAAAAGAGAATATTCACATCGTGTTATTCAAGTGTTATTGTGTGTTATTTAAGTATTATTGATGTGTTATTGTGTTATTATAACACCGAGAATATTCCCAAAACACAACAACACCTGAATAACACAAATTAACACGAGAAGAATATTTCATTGTGTTACCGGGCCGATCACCTCAACGATAATTTTATTGGACTAGACATCTAACTCTACGTGCAGAATCGTGATGTAATATTTTTTGCGTAATGGATTCTTATGAAAAGTAGCATAACATGTTAAGCCCTTCAATTAGTCCACAATTGTAGACTTGTAGCAATAAAATATGCTAAAGTAAACTTTTATATATATATATATACGGCTCTGAGCTTCTCAAATACTCTATTGACGGCCAAATCTTCATATCTTTTACTTTCTCAAATATTCTATTCCAATTCTTCCAAACCTTTTTTTTTTGTTTTTTGGCAAATTTATTTTAAAAAGAAAAAGAAAATGTATAACCAACCTTTTTGGAGAGAATTACATGCAGAAAGAAAAAGAGTAGCAGAATAAAGGGTGTGAGCACGAATCTCAAGACATTTATTTTTAACTTCATTATGTGCCGATATGTTTAAATCTTGCATTTTTTATTATTTGAAATCTTAAATCTGATGATGATTAATTATAGCTTCCTGATCCAGATGCGTTTGATTTTGTTTGTCTGCGACATTTTAGCAGAATTTGGATCGATATATTTATAATTGTCACGGTTAAATTATTGAGAATTTAATAAAAATGAAAAGTATGGGTTGGGGTCTTATCATGAATTTTGATATTTGAGCGAGAATTTGAAAGGGATGAAAGAGGGTGCTAGATTTGTAAATAGGTGCTATATATGTAAACAACCCTACAATTAGAGCATATTTACATACCCAACACTTGCATTTTATTATTTGCACAATCTACCGCCCTCTTAACTTTATTTGTTGTTCTTGTCCGACAACTTTGGCGATGGCGAGATTAGATGTGGGAAGGCTGTAGAAGGTTAGATATGTAAAAACACAAAAAATAAGTTGCAATCATGTATAAATGCCCCCTAAAACATAATTTAGACTCTCAAATTATATGTTATAATATTGAGATAGCAATTAGACAAATTTGAATGTAATTGTAATTAAAATTAAAATCATGCACAAATACATATATAAATATTGAACTTTAAAGCTTCTTGTCAAGTTTGAGTTCGTCTGTTTAACGAATGAATCGAATCTTATTTTTTTAATATGGCGAATAAAAGGTGACTAAGAACAAATGAGTTTTTTTAAAGTATTTTTGATAACCTACAAAGGATAAATCAAGATAGAACCAAAAACACTTAGTGATAATTAGCGGGCTATTCAAATGGTAGTTGTAGCTCAGACATATTGTATGATTGTTTCGAATGTTTATAAAAGATGTAACAAGAGTGCTTCGTGATGATTACACTCAGAACACGTACATTCGTTTTTTGACGACATCTTGTGCTCGACTCTTTAAGTAGCTCACGTTTGAATCATTCATTGAGTAAATGAGTCAAATACAAATAAAATTTTAAACTTAAATTATAAACAAGCTGAAAACGAAAAATTTTTTTGTTTGATCGTATTCAGCTCGTTTTAGATCAAAAGAAAACAGTTATATATAATATTTATATAATAATATATTATACCATAACTAATGTGGTCATGTGGTTCGAATCATATACCTTACATCGAGAATATGTAAATCAAGCCGAACACGAACCATACTATTCACAAGTCATATTTTCGAACATAATTAATTTCGAACGAGCCAAAATCGAGCTAAGCCTGAGCTCGCTCAAGCTCATATCAGTTGATCAAACATCTGTTTGTCAGTTGTAAGTCCCCTCTGGTCTGAGGTTCGATTCCCTCCGAGCGTAGGGTGTGGTACTTGAATTCTTAAGTGCACGAGGGACGATCGAGACTCGTATGATACCCTCCGACCATTCCTTTATATATATATATATATATATCCATGCAAATCACCACATTTCTAAGCTTTAACATAACAAATTGATATAAATCTTATCATGCGATTCATTATTGTCAACATTTAACAAATCACGTGACTTTTAAAACAAAAATATTGCTATTATATTATACGTAGAAACTTCAATAAGATATTGAGGAGCGTGCCGAAGAGCAGTTCAAAAAAAAAAAGTGATGAATGGACCGTAAAAGCTCGGTCCACCGAGATTAGCGGGGTAAGTAGCCGGTCTTCGCGGTCGGTTCGGGGACAGAGATGAATGGACCGAACCCAGCGGTGGGCCTGCCAAATCCAGCTGGGTCGCGTGACATGAACCGGTCTGATTGGCCCGGCTTTTACGGTGCACTTTTGCTTTAGCCGCTCACCCACAATGCCACCACCTTTTTCGTCGAATGGCCAGGATCGTCTGACTGCATGGGCCCCATCTAACCTGTGGCTGTAAGGCTACTGTGCGTCGTTGGGTATGTTCGATTGTGGTCCCTCCAAAAAGCTGATATTGCGCAAATGATCGTTGTTGGGTGATATGAGGCGGCGCCCGACGGCTAAATGAGAAAATAAAAGGGATGTATAAAAGCTTGAGGATTAAAATATATAAGAAATAAACAATTAATTATCAAAATAAAATTTATTTAAATTCAATATTTATGCGATGATATGATTTGGGGAATAAAAACATTAAGAAGAAAGACTATAATTAATAGTAATTATAAGAGTATATTTATGAATCAAATTATTATAAATTTAATAAAAATATTAAAGAATGATTTAAATCTAAAGTTATCTTTAATTTAATATTTGATGATGAAAGTATTGAACGTGAAGCTATATGCATGTATTAAAAAATATATTTTTTAAATTTTTGTAAGACATTCTAAAAATATTAGCAGCTGAATTATTTTCAATTTTGACAAAAAAACTATGATAATATTTATTTATAATAATATGATCGTACGTTAAGTTATTATAATTCCACGTATACATAGGGTCTGTTTGGGGGCAGCTGCAGCTTATTGGATAATCTATTGATAAACTAGGTGCGGTGACTTACAAATATTTATTTTTTTTGGAAAAGTCAGACTGTTGTCAGAAGATTGCCACCTCACCTAAATAGATGCAGTGTGAAAACATTGTTTTCAGAGTTTTAAAAACGCATAAGCTACCAAAACACAGTTTAGACTGCCACCTCACATAAATAGATGCAGTGTGAAAACGTTGTTTTCAGCGTTTTAAAAACGCATAAGCTACCAAAACACAGTTTATCTAAACAGGTCAGATGTGTTTTCAAAATGTCACTGCAACAAATAAGCTGCCCCAAACGGGCCCTTAATTAGGCTAAATTACAAATTTTTAAAATGAGTTATTAACGAACTCTTATATTTTTTCCCTCATCGCAAAATAACTTAAATGCTTTAAAATTCATTCTATTTAAAGTTTAGCTAGAAAAATATCATCACCTAATTTTAATTCCAAAAAAAAAATGAAAAAATTTTATTTTTATTAATTTTCTTAGTAGTAATATTTAAAATTGGAGTGCAAAGATGCCTAATAATAGTAGATAATGATACAAAAGCCCCTAATATTTTCAATTGACTAATCTTGGTCCCATGTTCCTAACCATAGAGGGGAAAAGAAGCTCTTGGCGTCTTGCAGTTATAAGAACAAAACAACATGTAAAACAAGCTTGAGGTAACATATAATCATATGAAGGAGATTATAACTACTTTTTTTGCTTGCTTTTTATTTCTCCCTTAATGAAATTATATTAAAAAGTAAGGGAAAATTTACATGTATATGGAGCACATAACTCTTTATGTATTTACATATCTCACATCTAAACTTTCATGTTTACATAAACAATATTTTAGTGTTTTAAGATGATGCGTGAAATGTGTATTGAAGATTTGAGTGATATTAAGTATTTGAGTGTTACATATATAAATATGAAAGTTTAGGAGTATGTATGTAAATGCTCCTATAGATATCTTCATATAATTATCATGATGGAAAAGAAAGACATTACTATTCTAACATAATTTTTAGAGAGAGAGAGACAGAGAGAGATGTGCCTAATGTCACAGATAAATAGTCCCACATCGGCTAGGTGTAGGGCCAAAAAATAGTATTTAAATCCTGGGCTGCCCACCTCTCTTCTATTTTGGGAGGTGACGAGGTGACAAGTGATATCAGAGCAGATTACTGTCTGCCAGGTGTGTGGACTCTCTATGGTCCAGTAGGACCCTCGGTGAAGCCGATCCGTGACGAGGGCGTCACGTGATTGGGTGGAGGAGAATATCACGGACAAATAGTCCCACATCGACTAGGTGTAGGGCCGAAAAACAGTATTTAAATCCTGGGCTGTCCACCTCTCTTAAGAGTTCTTTTGGGAGGTGACACTAAGCTCCATTATTTTCACTACTAAAAAAAGAATTTTCATAACACTTTATATAGACAATCACAATTCACAACGATAAAAGCTTTGTTATTTTCATTATAACTGATTTTAAATCACTGTAATTTTTATAGCTACAAAGGCTTTTAGCAACAATTTTAAATATTTTTATGTGTTTTTTTTTAATATTTTTAGCACCTTTTTTTAAAAAATGTCTTTACAAAAATGTTGCCAAAATTTTATTTTATTTTTTTAGTAGTGTTTGATGAAAAAATAATGCAAATATCCTTTAAAGGTGGTTGGGTTAAGACACAAAAATTAAACTTATGTAATTTTCATGATAATTAGTTAAAGCTAATTCATATCCTAAGAGACTTTGAGATGGCTAATGAAGAAACAAATGATGAGATGAGAAAATGAAGTGGATGCTGCGTGTTTGATGTCCCATTTATTTATAGAGATGAGACTTCATTGTTTTAGATACAAATGATGGTGTGAACACAATCAAAGAAGTAAGATAAAGAGGCTTGATAGATCCGGTGCAAGTCCTATAACACTCCTCACAAATTTTGTCTGTGTTTTTTCTAATATATTATTTAGTTTAAATTTTTCTTTAATTTGTTTCTAGCACTTTTTTCATTTATTCATGAGGTAAAATAAATCAAGATATTTCAAACAATTATTTTCCTATGTACTTATATATCTTACCCATAATAATGATTATTAGGGTTGCAAATGAACCAATGCACTCGATGAACAGCTTGAACTTGGCTTGATTAGTGTTCTATCAACTTTGTTCAAATTAGTAAATAAATAAATTTGAACATTTTTTAAATACTCGAGGATTATATGAGCCAAATGTAAATATGGTTCAAATAGTTTATTTTTGTTCACAAACAAATTTACTTGTTGTACAACAGGTAAATTGTTAAATTATCTATAGTTATATGAAATATTATTTAAATAAACTCTGACTAACTAAAATTTATTTATGTATATAATTAATAGTAATATATTATAGTTTAATATTAATTTGCATATTAATCTAATACATTGCCTTCTTATTTCATAACTTTAATAAACTGGTTTGTTAGTGTTTTTTTATACTATTTGATTGCAAGAATGCTACTTATAGCTTATAAATTGTCTTATCTAATCGGTGTAAATTACTTGAATACCAATATAATTTATTTGATTGCTTCTTTAATTTGATTTATATAAATATTTTTTAATTACTTTATATAAAAAATTCAATTACGAATCATTTGAATTTTAGCTTGTTTATTATCTCGCTAAAGTACTAGTCCAACACAAATAAACAAGCCAAGTAAAGGTTAACAAGCAAAGGAGTTTTACACCAATACTCATTTATAAAAATACCACAATAGAATTCTTTAGTTGAAAGAAAACATCAGTACATATTGAATGTTGCATGAGCTTTTTTCTTCCAGCCTCAAGTAGCATTCCAAATTTAGAGTAATTGTGTTCTTAATACAATCATTTTAATCAATAGAACTACACCTTCACCACTACTAAAGTACCTTATGAGCATTAATATAAAGATGCAATTGACTAGTCATATCTTAGGTTTTTTGTTGCCTTGTTTTTGCATCCACTTTGTTTGCTCATCGCAAAAAATTCAGGTTACTAAAACCCGTTCTTATATACAAGATTATCATTGCAACCTTCGACAATCTCAAACTAATTTTTTTTTTCTCAGACTCCTTATTTCTTTTATCAAAGTATACCTCTTATAAATCCCTTTATTCCACTCATAAGGCTTTTACTAAAGCTATTTTGTCTCAAGTGGAACCTCAATTTTAAGAACAGATTGGAGCAATCAGTTATCAATCTACAACTTGTAAGTATTTTTATTGGTTGTGATTAAATTTATAAGATCAAATATAGATATGATGGATCTAATGAGCATTATTAAGTTCGATTGGTTGCGAAAGAGTATAATTAACAAAAAGTTATTAGTTTCATAGATATTTTTTCACATATTGCTAAACTTACTACTATAAAAGTTCTATACGTTGCAACTTTTTGAAGATACAGGTTTTTAACCTATAAATTAGCTTCTATTCTTATGAATACTAGAATTCATCTTAATGCAACTAATGGTGAACTTACTCTAAATGCCTCTTAGTACAAACAACTCATAAGTCATTTGATTTATCTCACATTATATTGTATTTGTTGTTCTTACTCAACCAATATTGGTTGCACCACAAACACCTCACCTACAAGCAACTCATCCTCTACTTAGATATTTGAAATATAAACTCGAACAAGGCTTCTTCTTTAATTCTAATTTATCATTTTAGCTTCGCGCTTTCTCTAATGTTGATCGAGCTTGATGTGCATATTAAAAAAAAAAGCACCATCTCACATTCCTCTGTTGAAGCCGAGTACCGTGCGATGACAACAACCACAAGTGAATTGGTTTGTATACATCTGATATTGGAAAGCAAAAAAGGAAATCTATAGTCTCACATTCCTCTGGTGAAGCCGAGTACTGTGTGCTGACAACAACCACAAGTGAATTGGTTTGTATACATCAACTAATATACAGCTAATATAGAACTTTGGTATTTCTACCTCTACTCCAATACTTTTGTTCACTTATAACCAATCAATAGTGTACATTTCTCTTAATCATGCTTTTCACGGAAGAACAAAACACATAAATATATTGTTTTTTTTTTTTATGACAAAGTTAGTGCTCGTTTTGTCAAGCTTATGCCTATTTGGTAACAACACGTGTTGGCAAATATTTACACCAATGCTTTACATGCCATGTCTCGTTCTCTTTGTTATCCAAAATGACAACTGCTGGGAGGGAGCCACGCCGCACTACGCCGACGTGTATAACGATGTGGCACCTGACGGTTGGTTGTCTGGCCGTGCGGCGCGGAAAAAACTATTTAGTTAGAGTGATTAATCATAATCTCTCATAATAATTCGTAATCATAATCAAACCAAGTAACGTATTAATTACCGCATCATGCCATCATTGGTCCCCTTCTTTGGGCACTTTTCTGCGTGCCCCTAAGCACACAATTTGAATTCTGCAATTCAGGGAGACCAAAATATGTAAAATAAATACTTTGTTCTCTTCTGTTTCTCCTCAGTCCTTGCTCCTCATGCAACCCAAAACACATCATAGCCTTGCAATTATTTAGTTCCCCTGTCCCAAACACCAAAAATATTCCAATTTATCACGCCTATTATTTCATTATAGCCCCCCCCCCTACACATAAAATAAACAAAAAGCCCCCCAACAAAAGGTTATTTATTATTTTATACAATAAGGTAGAAAAAAATTGCAAAAAAAAAGAAAAAAAAGCTTCAACATAACGAATCACGAGAAAGAAGAGAAGCAAACTAACTTTTTCTTTGTTTGGTCCCTCAAATTAATATTTATAATAACAATTATTATTATTATTATTTTGCATTGACTGAATGCTTCTAATCATCTTACAGAGAGCTTCAGCTTTTACAAAAGCCTCTCCTATTTAAAGAGAGCCCCAACAACTTGTGCTGAGCGACAGAGATAACAAGAGATATGATGGCAATGGAGAATTGCTTACTTGCGTTTGGAGTTGGAGATCATCTATTTCAGCCATTTTCTTTAGGTTAAATTTGATGATTATCTTTAATTCTGCATTTACTTGATGTCATAATTTGATTGTTTTGATTGATGGGGTGCATGTTTCTGTTAATTATGAGTTAGATGTGGAGTCGCCGATGTCGTCGGAGGCGGCGACCGGTTACCTGCAAGATGCGGTGGTGGAATGGAGAGAGAGGTGCAAGCGGCGGCGAATGGTTTTGCCGTTCTGTTTCGATCCTCCCATGGCGGCGGTGGTGCCGACGACTGCAGAAGACATTCATGAAATTCTTCAAGTAATAGTTAACACACTAACGTAAACTAAGACACTTGGTCGCTCTTATGGATTGATGATATTGTGGTGGTATTGTAGTGAATAACATTATAATATTACCAAATTTGTACTTATCGACACCTACATTTGTTTTTCAATAATTTGTTTGCAAAATGTTTTGCAAGTTAGAAACAATTTATTGCAAATTACAGATGTTTTGGGGTTCTGATTGTGCTGGGAACACTTATGGAGAGTTGGACTCCTTGTTTCAAGAAAGCAGTACTGTCTCAGGTTCTGCCCTGAACTTTTTCTCTATAGTCAATTTAGGTGACCTGCATGTAATGCAATAAAAATGAATAGAAATGTGACTCTCAATCTTACTCTTGCCACCCTAAAATCATTACTATTTGCACACAACCCACTCACTATACATGTATAATTTCAGAAATGGCACATCAGAATCTGCAAGTAATTTTATATTATATACATAATTCAACAATATGCATGACAAAAATTTGGTTTTTTTAAATTAAGATATGCTTTGAAATGATAATTTCATTCTTCATAAAACAATTCGTCAAATTTGATAAAAGAAACTAAAATATAAAAAAAATCAGAACTTTTATGAGAACTTATATCTAATTTGCAGCCAAACTGATAAATTTAACAAAATTTAATATTTTTTCTCATGTAGTTCATCTCAATGTATATATTTTTTTGCATAATATTAAAAAAAATAGATATTTAATGATTCTAATTAAAGAAATGTAATTAGCTTAATTACACTAATCTCAGAAGGGAACAACTTCAGCTTCTGGGCGGAAGCAAAAGAGAGAACAGGAGCCAAAATCCAGAAAGAAACACTCTTCTCCCCTCCCTCTTCATCCTCTCAAGAGATTTGCTCCACCATTTTAGCCGTAAAGAAAAAGAAAGAAGAAAATGGAGATAGAACAATGAAGAGAAGGAAGAAGAAGGTGGCCTATCCTTTTGCAGTTCTGAAGCCTGCAGGGCTTGAAGAAGGGGAGGTGACACTTGCAGAGATTAATAGGAGGATTATGATGAGGCCGATGAGGCCGGTGAGGCATCCGGTGGGGGAGTACAAGTGCTTGCCTTGCGTGGCGGATGTCGGCGGCGGGCCGGGGCTTTCCGGCAAGGCGGTGGTGGGGCTTACGAGGATTCATACGCGCGGTAAGGGGAGCATTACCATTGTGAGAACAAGAGGGTGATGGAAGTGCTGATGCTGTTTTTGTTTCAGTGTTTGTTTTTGTTGGTTCTGATCTTTGTGTTGTAGATAGATGGCTAAGTGAATTGTAGAGATGTATGTTAAGTTTATATCTTTGTGGGGACTTTATGTGAGATTAAGTTATGTTAGGTTATGAGAATACATTAATTAGTTATGCACCATCACGCGCACTGCATCAACAAATTTAAAGTATTTTTATATCAGAAATATTTCAGATTCAAATTAAAAACCATCACTCGAGGTGATGTTGTAATCGATGATACCAAAAATGGTATAGTTTGAGTCTAAATAGATTTAGATTTAGTCGTTATAGTACATTTAGAGACTTCAGATCGTTCATTAAATGATTAAACGAACTCCAAATTTTATATACCTATAATCAAATCGAGGTTCTCATTGAGAGAAATTGAAAGATCACTCAATTCTGGGATCATTAAGACTTTGGAATTATCAAAAAATTCTTATGATTAAGAGGGATCAATGGGGGTAATTCGATTGCACGATTATGAGAGTAATTTATCGAATGACCAAAATGTTCCTTCCCAGAGGATATAAATAGATCATATCCTTTCGCTTGAAGGAGGGAGGAAGAGGAGGATTAGAAGTCAAATTTCAATGTTATTCTGGATTGAATACTATCACAAACCGTCGTGGTTTATTTAAAGTCGACAATAACTTTGGGTGACCACCACTTGTCGGTCGTCGTCGACGATAACTACAGGACGATTGGCCACTGTCAGGCGGTTGACGTTGACGACGCTCATTTCTCACCAAGTTCAATAAACTCTATTTGCTAACATCGTATCACAAATATGATTGTAACACAATGTCATATTTAAGATCCGACGATAACTTCCGGTGATTTTGCTGGACTCCTTAAGTTTTGTGTACATTTTTTATACGAATAAATATTGTAATTGGTGTAAATTTATCATTTTAAATAAAAGGGAGGTACATATGCTTCCTCTTAACTATCAATAATTTATTCAATAAGATTGGTTTTCATGGCTTCTGATCATCCTCAATTATCATGATAATTAAAGGATATGAAACTAATATGATAAATAGTAAAAAATAAAGATACGAACAATTTTGTTTAATTATTTTTAATTATCGTGATTTAGAAAAAAAAAAGTGAGATCAATCATGACCATTCAAAATGAAATGCATGATTAAGATTTGAGAGCTCAATCTTTTAAATATCATGATGATTGAAGAGGAGGCGAATCTGATTCCCCTCATGCTTAAATTTTTGAACTAAAGAAGCTCACTTATTTAATTCAAAGTCTGCGCCTCGATGTCTTTGTCAAAGCTTTGAGTGATAAGCAAAGTAATTATTAAATTTTAGTATTTGATATGTAAATACATAAGAATTGTGCGGTGTGTTTGTAAATTCTTTATTTTTTTTATTCATTAGAGCTTTAGCGAGCTGAACATATGGGGCAACTTATAAGTACGAGGGTGTTTTTGAAAACGCTGCTTAATCGTTTGGATTGCACTTTCAATTGCTTATTAAAAAACTCAGTTTTGAATTTGTTACACATTCAGCCCGCGAGATGACCCCCGCGGGCCACGTATTCGTGTTTCAGCCGCGTATTAGGAATAGTGAGTTGAGAAACTAGAGGTAAATAAATATCTAAGATTACTTCATCTTGCATCAATTTTTACATTGAAATGATTTCACTAATAAATTATTTCACTAATAAATTATTTAATCTATTACAGGCAGTGCCAACAACAATAATTTTTGGGTAGTCTGTATGTGTCGAATGAGTATGAAAGCGTTTAATTGGTTCTAAAATATCTAAGGGTTAGAGATTGCAGTTTTGTTGAAAATATTACAACTTTTACGTGACAGATTATTCATTTACCAAAAAAAATTAGCAAATCAGCTGTTTTCAAAACGCACGAACCAAACAACTAAATAGTTTATCCAAAACAGGGTCAGACTGGTCATTTATTCAAAATCAGTTATTTTCCAAACGCACAAACCAAACAGTCAGACAACTTATTTGACTAAACTGTTGATTAGTAGCTTGTCAAAATAAACAGCTTATCTGTATAAACTAGATAAGCTGTAGCTGCCCCAAACAGACCTTAAATCTTTAGAATTAAATTGGCCGGTAATTGTGAGGAAACAGAGATTTGGTATGCATGTCCTTTTTGATAGTCCTGTTTTGGAATGTAAATTCTTCACGTGATTGGAGTAAATTGTAAAAGTTCCTAATTAAGCTTAAGGGAATTAATGATCAACCTACTCCTGGAAGGTGCGCTCTGAATAATTATGTGCTGGCCGGTCGCATTTTATCCGCTCTAAGCTTCGGACATTTCAAATTAAATGACATTAATTTTGCTGAAAAGAAAAAAAAAACTGTGTCAAAGAATTTAGTATAAGAAAAATTCAAAGTATTTAAATATTTTAGATTTGTTTAATTACATATAAAATAAATGGATGCATTTATATTTTTATTTTATTTTGAAAAATGAAATTAATGTAAAAAGATGGAGGGTGGGGAGGCCGCAGTGGTCGACGGTCAGGAGGGCGTTGATGATAGCAGCCAACAGCCGGTCGTCGGTGGACTAACAAAGTTTTA